TATCAAACAAACAAAACCGACATTCCGCTCCGTGTGAGGACACCAAGCGTGAGCTCGTAACAACATATCTTCTATATATTGTATATATATATATATAGGGTGTCACACAGGTTTCCCTAGAAATTTTACTAGTGTGTTCTACAGCTAAATGTAAGATTAAAATGACAAAAAAAAAAAGCCTATAAATGACTGCATTTAAAAGTTATAAGAAAAGTATGACATAAGTTGTAACGAAGTTATAAAATAAATACGGAAAGTTCTAACAGAGTTACAAGAAAAATATGAAAAGTCACGACACAGTTATATAGCAGAAATATGAAAAATGATGACAAAGTCATCACAAAAGTATGAAGAGTTATAACAGAAATTTTCACGATGCAAAAGAAAATTAATTTACCACTGTCCTATAAATACTTTGCAAAATTGGAATTCTCTTTCATAATCGCAATGTTAGAAGACAGAATTGAACAATGTCAATTGACTGAAAAAAAAAAAAAAATTGCGAATGAAACGTTGCGTAAAGACAACGGTTGGGTGTTAATAGGTTAATGAAACAGTATAATGTTACAACAATACAAGTTGAATCATCCACAGTTTTATGATTCTCTGGAACCATATAAAACTTGATACAATAAAACAATTGATTCGAAGACGAGGAACAAAAAATTTACCGAAAGTTCTACCTTCGATTTCTGTCACATCCAAAAACATGCTATATTAAGATTCCCCAAAATAATTAATTCGAACCCTCCAGTTCTCAACGTCCAAAGTTACAACTGGGTTCAACTTTGCCTTTCGATAAAAAATACTCGAGTAAACATGCACTCTTAAGGATTTTACGAAGCTTCTCTAATTTTAGAAAATTACCGAAATTAATTGCACGTGAAATACGCAAATACAAATAATTCTCACGTGTGCGAATTTATCGAAAGGAAATGCCTGAAACGACGACTATTCTCGCCACTGCTTTTCTAGGATACTGAAACGAAAATTAGCTCGCAACGTTTTTGGAAAATTTGGAATTTTTTTTTAGAAATCTTAAACAATATTGCGAAGGATTTCTGTGAATTTTAATTTTGCAATTCTTTTTATACGAGAATTTAATTTTATAATTTTACAATCCTTGGAAAAATGCTTGGAACGGTTTCGAAAAATTTGGAATTTTTATTTAGGAATCTTAAATAATATTGCGAAGGATTTCTGTGAATTTTAATTTTGCAATTCTTTTTATACGAGAATTTAATTTTATAATTTTACAATCCTTGGAAAAATGCTTGGAACGGTTTCGAAAAATTTGGAATTTTTATTTAGGAATCTTAAATAATATTGCGAAGGATTTCTGTGAATTTTAATTTTGCAATTCTTTTTATACGAGAATTTAATTTTATAATTTTACAATCCTTGGAAAAATGCTTGGAACATGTTAGGAAAATTTTCAAAATTTTTTTTAGCAAACGTACGTTATTAAATTCTTTAAAAAATCGTGAAATTGAATTTTACAGGAATTAGCTGTTATTAATAAAGCACGAATAATAAATAATTAGGTTCTTAAGGAAAAATTGCGAAGGATTTGTATGAATTTTAATTTGACGATAATCAACTGTTAATCCTTGGAAAAATTTGATAATAGATCGCTAGAGAAAACTAAGTAGAAAATTTACGAAGGTGTAAAATTGATAGTGAAAATGAATTTATGCGAAGATTTACGAAAATTATCGATGCAGAGTGAAATTAAAGAATGCATTAACATTTTAATCTAATCTGTGCTAGTATTATTGGACTTTGCCAAGCAGATGGTGTATCGTGAACGATATTTAATTGTTGCAAAATGATGAACCACTGATAGATAAACGAGTTCGAATTTTTATGTTTCCGGTGAACGATGACATAAATCGCACAGGTAACAGTTAACGAGATTTTTTCCAATTAAGTACCTTGTTTTTATATATTCATTATTTATTCTACGTGGAAAGAGATAACGAGAAATAATCTTCTACATATTTTTGTCCATTCTTTGATAAAAACGTTCGCAACGAAATTGTTTATTCGCGAAATTATAAATATTTTCCTCTAAGTATTAAAATTTCCGCAAATGTTAAATCACGTGAAATGTGAATCGTTGTTTAAACACTCGAGAGCTTGATTTTGAAGAAAATATTATTCACGATTATCTTAAAAATTGAGAAGAAAATTTTCTAATTTCTTACAAATTTTAAAATGAGCTTTCATCATCGTCGTTTCTCCGACGAAAACGCTTCATCGATCCAAAAACAATTGTCTGATGAAATCTGCACGCAGTTTCGGAACTGTCACAGTAATTACATCATACGATCGAGAAGCAGAGAAGTTGTTAAATTTTCCTTCAAATCGAATCAATTTTCCCATACAGAAATCGGAATACCGCAAAATTTTTGCAAAAAACAATTTCCTACGTTACCGACTGAAGGAGACATATTTTTCAAAGAAGAAAATAAACGATCCAACGAATCCAAATTCGAGGCGACCCTTTTCGAGATTTTTTCGAAATATTCGCGATTGAAATTCGCGCGAAGAAACTTGATAGTAATCGTGACTCGAAGGATACTTTCGTCGTGGACAATATTGAACACCGTTAACTGTTCTCCACGATCGATCGAATACACGCTTTCACTCGCATTTTCTAGTCACCGTGACAGCATCGAAGAGAATCGTAGAATCGTACATCGTTTATTTCGCAGAAAACGGTAATCTCCGGAGGATCTCGCGAGGGCACTGTTTCAAATTCAAGTCACCGGGATCTGGTTAAAGTGTATGGAATACTTTACTTGTTCCCCGATATATGATATCGATGTAACGAAACGTAAATATCCGAACGTTAATAATGTTGAGGGTAGTGAGGCTTGAAATTTATTTAATCGTCGTATCGTTATGCTGATAATATCGTTTCGCTTGTTTGAACTTTTCGATAAAATGAAACGGAAAATTTCTCATGTTTTTAAAACGAGCTAGTTTTTTTTTTGCGGGAATGTATGTATTTTTTGAAATTTTATTCGCTATTTCGAAAGAACTGATGGCTACACTCGATTAGTTCTACAAATCCACGTATTAAGTGGATTAAAACGATATCTTAACATTCAGTTTATGATAGTATTAAGTGTACTTAAGCTGGATTACACGATGAAAAGGAGCAAGACTAAGTAATGGAATTTTTAGATAATATTCCGAATCACAAGTGAAAATTTCAGATTTCCAAAGGAAAAAAGGAGAACCTGAGATTACTATAATAATAGAAGTCAAGGTTGACTGTGTAAGACAAATGAACAAAAAAAAAAAAAAACAGAATGAGCAATAATTTTTTGTTTGCACGGATTAACCGCAAACCTTTTGAACCGATAATAAAATCCACTTAACGGTGTTCCGTTTGTCAAGAAAAAGACTGTTGTATTAATTAAATATTGCATAACCGTTCTACAAACTGAAGTTTACCATCAGTTGACGTGAACGAAACCAAATCTAACCAAAACGTTTATTCTTATTGCATGTAGGAAAAAATTCGATGTCCATTTAGAAACAACAAAATTTATTGTAAACGACCTAAAAAGAGCAGAAGAAGATGTCTATATTCGTTTTATAAACTGTGAAGCGTAAAAAAATTATTGAAAAAAATGATCGTTTAAGAAGGGTGGTTTTACGTTCGAGATACGATGACGCAATTTCACAACATCCGGTGTAACAGTGATGCGTTAGATTCGCGTGATGCAACTGTTCCGGTGAATTTGTAGGTGTAGAATCGAATGACCTTTTTGCCCTTGAGAGGACGAGCCTCCGTCTCGAGCAGCGGCACATTCACCGATAATGTTTCGGTCATAACGGAGTGTGCGAGTGCGGGGAGTTTTTCCCACTCTTACCCCCACCACTGACCGTCCGTCTCCCCATCAGCGCGCCCATGTAACAGTATCGTATCGCGTAATTTCAAGCCCGCGCTGTAAATTGACGCAAGAACTAGCTAGATTTTCATAAGATTTATCGCAAGTGAAACTGATTTACCGCTTATCGGAACTCGTGATCCGATTCAAGATTAGAAGAACAGTGTATGATGAATCGCGAAAATTTTGAAGTGGCGAGGCTGTGTAGTGAATGAAACTTGGAGAATTTTATATTTCGCATTTGAATGATTCCTTTTTCAATGGAAAGAACGGAGATATCCTTTTTTTGCCTCAGGTCTTTGAATCTTATCAGACGTAGATCGATATGAATCGTCAAAATTACTCGATTCGAGATACGATATCGTCTGGTTCCTTATCGATTCTCAGGATTTTTGTGACGGAAAAAATATTCCCGAGAGAGGGAAGACGTCTGCGTTTCCGCGGTAAGGAAAATTATCTTTGTCGTTTCTCATTGGAGAGAAAATTGTCGATTCATGTTTCTATGTGTAAAAAGCGTTACTCTGAACAATTTATGTTTGTCTATGGAAAAAAAGGAACTAGGTTATCGTACGCTATTTTTTGCACTGTTCTACGCGCTTTATCATTCGAGCTAGACATAATATTTTCCATTTGAATGAACGTTTAAGTGAACAAATAACGAAAATGAATTATCGACAATTGTGCAAACAGATTTGCGATTATACGATGAGCTTTTAAACTACGGCTAATTATAACACCGTATACCGACGTAGAAACATTCTTTGGAACAATATTTAACATAAATAAAAAAATTACAAATTAACACTTAATTTATGTCATTATTCATAATTGACCTAATCTGTATGACGATTGCAGAGTTTCTTCGTTCACGAAATTTAGGTAACTTTGAACGTTTTTCAGGGGAAGATAGGTCAGGAAATAGGGCACGAAGTCAGAGAAAATTTCGCTTGATCGGTAACAGGGGACCCCGTGTATCCGTCAGTGGGTCGCTCGTGCTTCATGGCCTCTTTGCGCCCCACCATGCGTCCACTACGTTCGTCCATGGAAGTGTAGGTACGCGCGTGAAACAGCCGCTTTTGTTCCAGTAGTCGCGATATAAAACTCGTGAGATACGCTCGTGAACGACGAATCGTACGTGGTTGGTCGAACAGGAACGTAGTGCTGTCACGCGCGTGTACAAAACTCGTGCGTCTCGAACACACACCGAAACGGTATTACACAACGAAAAGAGGGAAACGGATCCGTGGCGATTCCTCGAATTGTGCCGAGAGCCGCTCGCTTTCTCGCCGGACCGTCCACCGAAATCGCGTGAAACACGAAGCTTCTAGAGGGCTTGCAGTTCGGGGTGCAACAGCGAGGGGAGGGTAATGAAAACATCGAAGTTATCCTCGAGTGACATGATCAAACAGGTGAGCCGAAACAATGGTTGTTCACGGAGAGAGACGGCCGGTTTTCATGTACCGTGTCGATAGATGGAATTCCGTTACGGTGTATGCTTCGTTTTTCGTTTTGTGTCACACACAAAGAGAGAAGGAAGGTTCGTGTTCGAGAATACACTCGAGAACTAAGGAATCTCTCTCTCTTTTCTCGACTCACATCGTCTTCTTGTGCTGCTTGTCGTTGCTCGTTCGATCACTCGTGGTTAGCGAGACATGAATAGGGGTGCTGAATTTCTTCGTCGGTTCGCATGTGAGCGAATGGCGGTTCACATAGAACCACTGCTGTTGTGCGTTTGTGTTCTAGGAATTCGGCAAAGAGATCGATGCATCTCAGTGTACCATGTTACGAGGTTAGAATTATGTTCTACAGTTGTGTGAAATCACTAATGGAACGATGTTGATTGGCAAATTGTGTAAAATGCGCTAAGACGTCCATGTTTCTCGAAACGATGGATAATAAAAACGATTTATGACGTGTGTTCGATCGTAGCGACTGACAAGTATCGCGATTCTACGTCACGAGATATTCATCAAATCTCAAGACGCGTTCTCGGATAGACAAAACCGACTGTCAGATCAAGTGTAAAAACGAGTTTTCCGGGAAGTCAGCTGCCGTTGGCTATTATCGAATGCCGTTTCTACAGAGTGCCTCGGGAACGTGACAACGCGGAACTCGTGCACGTTTTGTTATCGATTGTGACGATGGTGGACGAGTAAAGGGAAAAGTAGCACGCTCGATGTTACCCGCCACAGTATCAACGTGCATATCCAAGATCGATTAACGCACACGATTCTCGATACACGAGTGCCACGTACCGTGCGACAGATAAGCCGTTAAATATTTTATGGCTGAATAACGAGAGGCTCGACGTAAAGTTTGCCGAGCGACGATAAGGAGGCTCGAACATTCTCTGAAATGCAGTCGATAACGAAATAAATCTAATTCGTCACGCTGATACGACTAACCGGAATGATTTCACGCGGTAAACTCTCACGTAACGATCCATCGAGTCACGGAAAACAGTTCGCGTCGAACGAGAAGTCTATAGGTTATGAAACGCGTCGAACGTGCAGTTTAGGTTATGAAACGCGTCGACTTGCTGGAAAAACGACGAGTAGAAAAAGATGCCCGAAGAACGGCGAAACTGTACGAAGAAGAGCACGAGCACTCCTGACACGAAACGGCGTTCGACGATGTCGAAGTTACGGGCTGTGCAACATGTTGCATCGCTGCACGTGTAACGGTTTCGATTTTGCCCGGTTACAAAGCGATGGTCGACGGTTGTTTCGCGGAAGAGCAGATCGTGACTGGTCGCGTGCTCTCGATAGCCTATGTCCAGCCGTATATACACGCAAGCGTGTCACGTTCGTGGTCGCGAACAAAATCATCGTGCTTTTGAGAAATGTTTTCGTCTGTCATCGTAACGTTACCGCGTCTTCTGACTATGCGACGCATGATACAATAAAAACTCTATAAGAGTTCGAAATTCGAGTCCGCTGTGAAACAGTCACGGGATAGGCCCTGTATCCCTACACAAACGATGATTAAAAGAACAACAAGGTTTAAAGGACACGAAGAATGCACTGACTCGAAGGCAGGGTCGAACCAAGTGAATTCGTTTGTGTAGGGGTACGTACACCATTATACCGAGTGTCTGCTACGCGGTTGGATCTTATGTGGGCCGTAGGTTCTCTAGTCTATACGTGTAACTCTACGCAATCAAAACGTGGTAAAACTTTTTCTCTTCTTGTCGAGCAGAATGCATTGATGGAAAAAAAGAATGTAGCATTAATTTTCATTGTTGTGAACAATTTTGCGGCAAGTTTATTTTACAAATGTCCAGAGATGTAGATTCATCCCCCTGAAGCCATGGCCATGACTTTTTTTACACACTCTACGTAGCTAGAAATAACCGGTATACGAACGGGTACTATTTGCAACGTGAGACGAGATATAAAATCCGTTTCTGATAAACGTGACACACACATAATACATACGCAACAGTCTGGTGCATTAAATTTCGTTCCTCTTGTTTTTCGAATTGGCATTCGTTCCGTGAACACGACAATCGATAACGTTTCGATAAGGAGGGTTATTAATGTTCGTTCCGACGGGGAAACGATTTCAATGCCTCGCCACAGATGTATTTGCATAGGAAAGTATTGCAGAAACGTGCGCTCTTAAAAAAAAAAATCATCAGTACCATTTGTATCTCTGCATACCACCACGTGCATTTAGACGAATCACTGTGCATTGGCCTTTGGTCGTTCTTCCTGTAGCGTGCATGTGGCCTGAGCGTTCTACATGCACTATACCATTCATTCATAAAACAGTCCTATTGGCTGGCTGGCGGGTGTGTCGGTGACGTCACAGCCAGATCAATGCCGTAGCCGCGGAAAAAGGAAGAAGGGAAAGGCGTGCGAAATTGGCGGGAATTTCGAACGTTGTTTCCTGAATTGGCACGATGAAACCGGTGTCCTTGAAATTTCGTTGCGATAACTGATGCAATTTTTCATTTTTCAACTGCATATTACAATGTCAATGGTGGATTATTTACTGTTTCCTTATCGTGTACACCACCATTGGTATGTACAGTCGTAATGGAAATTTAAAAACAGTTGGAATATAAATTTCGAAGTTGACTTATCGCTTTTTCGAATATGTTTATAGCAAATTTGTAGGTCGGTTGCGTAAACGGTGATTTATTGCTCCATAATCGTTGGTAATAAATATGCATAGATCCATATCTGTTGCGAATTAATAATTTATTGCTTGTATAATAGCGCGTGAAACGTATACGTGATTACATCGCGTTGCAGTTATCTCAGATAACTTCGTATTAAATAATTACTGTAGTACATTGATCTATACCGTACGCGGCAACAAATAAAATCAATTTCACACAGAATTTCTCCACGCATTCCACGCGTATTTTCTACTAACTTTTCCGAATACATAGTGTCAGTCGAGGAGAAGAAATATCATTGAATTTCTAATACTTCGCGTGTGTGTCACCGTTCTACAGGGTGTCCATGTCGTTAATAATTTCTATATTTTCAAATACAAAACGCTTTGTCAGCGTTCTTCGAATTTTTTTCTTTTTTCATTAAAATTATGCTTCCTAGAGTTACGTAAAAAAAGTTCAACGATACGTGACGTAAAACCAACGTCCAAGGTCACCGAAGACTAAAATGCGAAAAAAAAAAGAAGAAAATTTAATGCTTGTATAACCATTTTACGGAAAAAAATTGTTATAACTGTTTAATACTACACGAGATAACAGAACTTATCTACCGTGATTTTTACACAACGTTAAATATAAAAGAAGAAAAGAAAGGAATTATTATTTTTATTTACGAAATGATTGCAACGTTAGATCAATGTTTAAAGATATTTAAGATCAATGTTGAAAAATCTTTTTTTTTAACTCGATCGTAGTATCGATATCGTAGCTTGCTCTGACGATTTTCTCTCTTTTTTTCGCTAACCACTCCGGCGACTCGTGTCGCAAGAAAGCAATTTACACTGGTCTACGAACTATTACGTTATACTTGAACTTGACGGGCTCGCTAGTATACTCATTAGTCTCCGCTACTTCAAATGAATAAGCAATGGGACGTGGAAAAAAAAAAACACTACGACTCCAGGAATCATACGAGATGCGAACAGTTTTCAGGATAAAGATCATTTTTTTTTTTTTTTTTTCGAATTGAAGATATTTTACCGATAGCGATCGGAACAGCTTTGAACTTGACTTTGATCGTATCTCGATTGCGAGCTTACAGTGACACTTTTCGATGTCTCTACACGCAGACATTCCATTTGAAATATTAAATTAATAAAAACAAAAAAATTACTTTAGAAAATAAAAGAAATTTTTTTCCTTTTTTTAATTTGAATTTTGGATTGTTAATTTAGGTTAGGTTTCGTTAATTTTCCATATTTACACATGTGACGGGAAATTTATAATCACTTTTCGACTGCAAGTGTGAAGAATGAAAAATAATTTTCTACGGTGATTTTATTAGTAATAATGAAAATAACGAAACTCGATTTTCCAAGTTTTCCGCGGAAAAATTGTATCGTGGAGTGTCGCGTGTTTTTTTATCAAGTACGCAACAATGTTTAATTACGCTCTTGAAAGGTGGTAGAGAGACGAGAATCGTGTATATTCCTAGGAGAGAAAATCCAAGGAAATGGAATTTTCTCGGAAGCAGAGTACCTGAATTTTTCTCTGCTTTACTTCGTTAACTCGTATTATATTTCAAGCACCTCGATTAAATGCGCAGTCACGTTTTTTAAGAGTAGAGGAAACACAAGTTTTGAATTGCGTTTCTAATGGTAAATCTCGATGGAAGCAGGATTGATCAAACGACATCTCGACAGTTCTCGAATTGAAATTTCCTATATTTTAACGTGGCAATATCATTTTTTAAGGACGTGTCAAATATAAATTAAATTTAATTACGTTTCGATAAATTTGAATAAATCAAGAATTTTTTTTTCAAATTAAAATTTGTTCGTTTTGCAAATATTCTTTAAAATAGTAATTACGTTACTGGTTAATTTTATTCGACGTATTTCATAATAAAGGTACAAGGTAAAAGTATCGATTCTTTTATCTGAGTAAGCTGTAATTGCGATCTAATTAGTTTGGGCGATCTTCCAGCGACTCACGACACTTCTTAGAAGCCAAATTTCACTGAATGACTGTCGATTTAACCAGAAACTAGGAAATTAGAAACTCAATTCTAACTCGATGATAAATTGTGGAAAAAATATTTTTCAGTATTTCTCGTTGAGAAAATATCAGTTATTTCAAATATTAAGCTTCGTACAAGCATAATTTGTTGGAAAATGTAGTGCTATTTTTGTAGAAGAAAACTGTATCGATAGAAATTTCGTGGAAATATCAAAGGATCAAGGTATTTCAATCCAACACTCTGGAAACGTGAACTTGAATTCCATG